CCCAGCTGGCCTCCTGTTCATCTCCACCCGTCTGCCCTGGGAGTTGCCCCCTGCCCCGCCCACACTCCCTCAGAGTGCCCTGTCCAGGCAGGGTCAAAGTCTGGGTGAGTGGACCCTATAGGCAGCTTCTGCACAAAAGCCCTTGAGCTTTGACCTTCTTTAGACAGGAGTCCTATTTCCCTGTGCGGGAAGCAGAGAATGCGGACTCCTGGCCCGGCTGGCTAAGCCCGTGGAAGTCCTGAGTTGAGCACACTGCAGTTTTCTACTATTTTCCTCCTGAGCCATAGAAGTGTGCCAAGATCAAATCCCCTTGGCCCTGTGCCAGGCACCTGAGGGGCCGGCTCCCGGGCACAGACCTGGCAGCCCTCGACTCTGCCCGGTGGCTGGGGTCCTCACACTTGGCCACTTCTGGATGCAGTCTTTAGCTGGGAGGGCCTGAGCGCCTGTGGAGCCCTGTGTCTGCACTGCCGCCTCCTGCCCTTTCCTGCCCCTCAGGTCACCTGTGTGGAAGCTGCCAGCACCTTCCCGCCCCCAGGCGGGGACGCCACAGACACAGCTGCCCCCACCCCCCAGCGGAGCTGCACCGGGAGGAGCCTGGGGCTCACCTGATACCCCACCTGTCCTGGGAGGGCCGTGGGCCAGCGGGGGACAGGGGCCACTGGCTAACTCCCTGGGAATAGCAGGACCTGCTGTTGCAGCCCCGATAAGTGGGGCGACTGGTGTGGTAAGGAGCAGGCTGGCTCTTCTCTTGGCCCCCGGATATTATCCCCCCCCCCGCTGGTTTTCTGAGTGATGCCTGAGCCCTGGCCACAAGGGAACTGAAAATCCTAAGGAGACTCCCGAGTCATCTGGCCCTCCTCACCCAGACTTTGACCCTGCCTGGACACTGGGCACTCTGAGGAGTGTGGGCAGGGCAGGGCAAGTCCCAGGGAAGACGGGTAGATGAGAAAATAAAGCCCAGAGAAGTTAAGCAACTCAACCAAGGGCAAACAGCCTGATCCAGACCCTCCCAGAGCAAGATTTCTGAAATAAATAATCATCCAAGTTGTTCTCTGGGGGTAAAAAGTGGTTTTTGTTGTTGTTGTTGTTGTTGTTTCATTTCTGAGATCAGGGAATTTGGGAAATGGCACACTCCCATCCCCCTTCTTCTGTCTATTCATTCTTCATTTAACAGACATTGTTCAGTCTGATGGAGGGACCGTTTCAGGAAGGCTGGTCCAGCCTGGCAAAGTGGAAGTGAGCCCCACAGTGCTCACGCTTCAGGACCATCGCTGCCCCGCTACCTCGGGCCGCAGGAACGTTGCTGGAGGCTGGCCTTCCACAACACTTTGCTAGCACTCCGGGGTGAGGCACGGCCGCGTCTTAAAACATCAGCCTGGACAGGAAGGCTGGAAATGGACGGACGCAGGCTGCAGGTGCGGGCTCTGTGCAGGACAGCAGCAGGGAGAGAACCCTCCAGGAGCCCGGGTCAGGCGGCCACCATCTGACCTGCAGAGGGAGAGGACGAGGCACCCCTCCCAGCAGGGCCCTGCCACACCGGCCCACCCAGCCGCCTCCACCTGGCTGACCCCCCTCGCCCTCCGGCTCCCTGGGGAGAACCCATGCTATTCTGCAAATGGACGTGTAAATTGCCCCCCTGGGCAATCGCGGAAGATGCAGGCAGGATCTTATTGTTTTAATAGGTTTTTTTAATTACGTGGAAAGGGTGGCTCCCTCTCAGTTACGTCATGGTGCCACCCGTGCAGCTGTCACTGTGAGTGAGTGGGACTGCTGCTGAAACAAGGTCACTTTCCATTAGGGAAACACTCCTGGTCGCCCAGGAGTGCTGACTGAGCCGCTCCGTCAGCACCACCCACCAGCACCTCCCTCTTGGCAGAGGAGCCCGCAGGGAAGCAAACCACCAAGACGGGCACCTCTCTCCTTGGACAGCTGAGCACCCCGGGCCAGGGCCACGCACCCTGCGACGCCAAACACGGACTCCACGGTCGTTAATACTTACCGCCAAGTTACATGTGAACGTTTTAAGGAATAAAATCCCATTTCCCCAGAAATACAATTCTCACTCCTGAGACGCCCCGTCCTGGTCTCGTCCGGGTGTCCTCTCCCACGGGTGAGCATCCTGGGCTGACGCCGCAGACTCCAACCCTGCCTCCAAGCTCCCGTCTTCCTCCAGGGAGTGGTGAGTGGGAACTCGCACCGGGAGGCACTCGGGATCTCCCAGTCCTGGAGGAAACAGGTGTAAGGAACACTCAGGGTGTTAGGCACATCAGGTTTAAGGAGAGCAGGTTGTAGGTGGTGAGAAGTTACGGAGAACACTAGACTCAGAGGTTCCCCTGCAGACAGGCGAGAGCGCAAGCCAGGACTCACTCAAGGTCGTCGGACCAGAGGGTGCCCCGGCTGGTCACAAAGGGGCACCCCTTTCTCATCTTCTCCTGACAAATTGCACCCCTCCCAGTTCCAAGCCCAAGGAAAGACAGACTCCGAGCTGACCGTCATGTCGTCGCTGGCCGGCTGGGGGGAGGTCCCCCGGTCCCCATGCCTGCATGTCGGGGTCCGGCCTGGGTGGACCCTCCCTGTCCCTGTGTGAGGAGCTGGCAGGGACGCAGCACACGCTGACCTTCACACACGCACACACTGAACCCGTCGTGTCCCCGCCCCGCATGCTGCAGAAGCCACGGAGCCCCACTCCCCCAGGACAGCAGCTTACCGGACACACACAGACCCACAGCGCCCAGAGAAGGTGCGCCTCTCCCTCAGCCGGGCAGTCCCCCGGGGCTGCTGACATCACAAAGGTGTCAACTGGCAACCTCCCTGTCATGTGGCTCTCCCCTGGCTCCCCTTCACTTGCAAACGCAGGGAAAGGGTGAGACCTTTCAGAGCCGCCAAGTGGGCCAGCTTCCAGCAGCGGGCTGGGGCCGAGAGCCGCCGCGCCGGGCGGCAGGGCACCGGGCCTCGCATTTCAACTTCTGCTCAGCTCTCCTGTAATGGAAAATTGCTCTGCACAAAGCTAGAGTGTTACAGTTCTTTCCAGCATCCCTCCCCCACCCGCCCGGGGCAGCCTTCAGATCAGAGGACGCAGGGAGCCCAGGAAGTGGAACGAGGGCAGTCCTGGCTTCTTACTATGTCCCTGGCTTCGGGCGCGGGCCCCAGGTGGTTGCTCTTTTCCTTTGGAATGGGGCTGGTTTCGGGGTCAAAGTGCCCAGATAACTGTCAGTGTCAAGCCCAGGAAGTGATCTGCACGGGCAGGCAGTTAACGGAATACCCCCGCAACGTCCCCCTGGACACCCGGAGGCTGTACTTGAACAACAACAAGCTCGCCGACCTGCCAGCCATGCCCCTGGGGCTCCTCAGCGACCTGGTCTACTTGGACTGCCAGAACAACCGGATCCGGGAGGTGATGGACTACACCTTCATCGGGGTCTTCAAGCTCATCTACCTGGACCTCAGCTCCAACAACCTGACCTCCATCTCCCCGTTCAGCTTCTCCGTGCTCAGCAACCTGGTGCAGCTGAGCATCGCCAACAACCCCCGTCTGCTGTCCCTCCACAAGTACACCTTCGCCAACACCAGCTCCCTGAGGCACCTGGACCTCAGGAACACCGGCCTGCAGACCCTGGACTACGAGGCCTTCCACCACCTCGCAGTGCTGCAGACCCTGCACCTGAGCGGGAACCCCTGGAAGTGCAACTGCTCCTTCCTGGACTTCGCCATCTACCTCATCGTGTCCCATCTGGACCACCCAGGTGAGCGCTGGCGGGCGTGGGGGAGAAGTGAGGAGGAGCAGCGGCTGGTCCCAGGAAGACGGTCAGGGTGGCGAGGGCCGACCTAGGGGCTGCGGCTCAGTGGGCCATCTCTGAGCAGGAGCTGAGCTCTGGCCAACTTGCTCTCACTAGTTGGCTGCCCTTGGGAAAGTTCCCACCCGTCTGAGCCTCGGGCTCCTGATTCAGAGAGTGGGTACGTGGTGTGCCCTAATATGCAGGGCTGTATCCTGGTGTGTGTGGAAAGTACCACAGGGACGCTGCGCCCTTGGTGGACAGTGCTAGTCTGCGTCCCTCGGGGGCTGAGTCTCCAGGCTCTGTCGGTCAGCTCCGTCATCATGGGCCACGGAGAGCCCAGTGGTGCAGGAGGCGTAGAAGGAAAGTTCAGCGAGGAAGGAGGGGAGGCCGGGGGAGGGAGGACGGAGTGGGCAGAGGAACCTCCTTCTCAGGGCTGCTGTCCTTCCTCCTGCTGTCCTCAAAGGCAGCAGCGAGGACGCAGCCCTGTGCAGATCCATGGGGACGGGTCACAGTGCTCGCTCTCCAGCAGGGAGATCCCAGGCTACAGGGGACCCTCAGGTCCTAGTGGGAGGTCTCCAGGCAGGCCGTGACCACATGGCCCCTGTGGCTGCCCAGGGCCTCGTGCCCTCTCCTTGGGGGCTTCACTCTCCTGTCCTTGTCCTCCACCGTCCTCTCCACCAATAGCACGACAGTCCAGCGAAGTCAGAGCTCCAGAGAAGTGAGAGATAACTACCCACAGGAAGCCTGGAGCCACCTGTAGGAAGTTCCCCCACGTGGCCATGTGTTAGGAATGTCCCTAGCCAAGATGGCAGGCTGCAGAGGATGGCAGAGGGAGCCTAGGGGGAGGGCAAGTACACCTGGCCCTCCTGCCCTCCAGGACATGTCACCAGACCTGCCGGCCAGGGCCTGGGGTAGCGGAGCAAGTGGGGACTCGGAGGTGAGCATGTGGCGCCCAGGTGCCTGGCCCTGCTCCGGACACTCAGCTTGAGCTGCAGAGTCCACCAGAGACTCTTCAGACCACCTTCTGAACGGTCAGCCGTTGCCCTGGGCAGGCTGCCTGGCTTCTGTCCACCACCTCCTCCAAGAGCCAGAGACAGTCTCCTCCTTCTGTCCACCGCTGTCTATGATGGTTTCTAGAAAGGGTCAGCGTCAGCCTCCTCCGCAGTCCTGGTACTTCCTGAAGGGCCCCTGTGGGGAGCCACCTCTCAGCCACGGGAGGACTCCTCTCCCGCCCTCCCCACCACACACACGGGTCTCCAGGGGCCTTCTGCCCTAGCTGGACAGAGCAGAGCCGCTGGCCCCTGCCCCTCCCAAGCCTGCCGATTTGGTCCCGCACACTTCCCCTCTCAGACTGCGTGGTGGGCTGAGCCTTGGAACGTTGGGGTGGGCCACTCTGGCTCCTCGACTGGGATGCGGTCCAGGGCTGAGCAGGAGATAGACCAGGTCTGTCCCCTGATGTTTGCAAGGGAACCAGAAGGGGTGCCCATCCCGCCAAGCTCACCAGGCCACAGGAACAAGGAGTGCGTCTCTCGGGGTCAACAAACCCTCCGTCCCCTGGCCAGGGGACCTGCACAGGCACCGGCAGCTGCTGCCGCTGGGTGGCCCACGGGACCCCACCAGCCCACTTCATGAAGAAGCACAGCCCGGTGGCCCCGTGGCTCCCGTGCACCATTTTCACGTCTGTAAGACGTAGAGCCCTGGAGACAAACCCGAGAATAATTCACACGCTACCCAGCTTTGCTGCTGGGACAGTTTTCTCGCACACCACGTCACATTTCCCTTGAGTGTCACACTGACCCCTGAACTTTGTGCCCTCGGCCTCGGATGAGAAAGTAGACCAGCCCCGAATCACAGCCAGCGAGTGGCCATAAAGTGACTTGAGGTTTCAGATTCAGCTCTTATTAGAGGCCATGTCCCTGCCACTGTGACAACTTGCCGGAGATGATCTTCTGTAAACAGGGAAGGGTTCTCTGGGTCACAGTTTTGGAGGGGCCAGTTCAGGCAGTTGGCCTGCTCTGGGCCTGGGGAGGTTGCGTGGCACAGCGGGAGCGTGTGGCCCAGGGAGCCTCACCTGAGGGCAGCCCAGGACCAAGGGAAAGGAGAGAGCCGGGGCCCCACTCCCCTCCAAGGACAGCCCCAGGACCCTTTCCTGCCCCCAAGGCCCAGCTCCTACAGGCCCACCACCTCCCCAAAGCCCCAGGGGCTGGAGATGGAGCCTTTAACTCAGGGCCTCGGGACATCGGAGCCAACACGGCAGGGTCTCTCTGTGGAACGAGGCCAGCTGTGAAACCCACGGTCACCTCTTTCCATCAGTTGGTCCTCTCCTCCACGGAGGCCCACACACCCAAGACGGCCTCACTGGGGAGGACCAGCCACACGGCCTGGTGGGCCTGCCACCCACCCACAGGCCTCAGGGCTCAGTCTCGTGGGCCGCGTGCAGGCGCCCCCCCTCCCCCACATCCAATCCCACACACACGTGAACACACCTGCACACGGCATGGACTCACACCAAGTGCAAAGGCATGCCCCATGTATGCACGCGTGCAGACCATACGCGTGACATACAATGTGAGGCACAGGTACACACACACTCACACACGTGCACAGACTGGAACACACAGCCAGATGTCCCCGGAGCCTCTCCGGCCCCCCAGCCAGACCTCCACACACGGGAGATCTCATTCCCTTCCACCTCACGGTGCGGCTCCTGGGGGAGCATCCGCTCGGGCGCATCCTTGGTGACTCTGACCCTGGTGGTCTGAACGTCGCTTTCACACTGGCTCTCAAAGTGGTGACCTCTGCCTGGTTCCAGAACAGAGCCGACCCCTCTCCCGGTACCCGCGTTTCAGGATATAGGAAGACCCGTTATCAAATGCGCTGAGCAGCCTGGCTGCTTACACAGTGAAAGCCAACTCAAGACGCGGGCGCTAGTGCCCTGCAGCACCGGGAGCGCTAACCTGCGAGCGGCCTTGGGGGCAGCGCAGTGGCCTGCCGTGTGCGCAGCCCTGGCAGAGCAAGGCAGGGAGAGCAAGCGGCTCCACGCCACCTGTTCCTCTGCTCACTGCCTACTGTGCTCCAAACACGTGCTCAGGGGTGTCACGAGCCAGAGTCCTGGGGCTGTGCGGGAGAGTCACAGAACTCCAGGTCACCCCATGCACGTCCCAAGTTCCAGTCAGGCACAGCAGAGCGAAACAGAGCAAAAATGACCTGACTGTGCCTAGACACGCACCTGGGCCAGCCTCCGCTACAGCCGTGGAGGACAGCCATGCATGGGCAGCCGAGCCCAGGGCAGGACTCTGGTCCTGCAGGGAAAGACATGGGTGAGAACTCTGGCCCTGCTGCTCACGACCTGAGAAGTCTCGGAGAAGTCACTCGACCTCTCTGAACTTCAGTGTCCTCATCTTTAAGACAGAGATAATAATAGAACCAACCCACCTAGGGCTGTCACAGTGAGAAATGAGTGTTCGTGAGCCCCCGTCAGCCGTAGCCTGGCACAGCAGCGGCTCGTGCACACACAGTGGTGGGACAAGGAGGTGCAGGGGATGAGGGAGCCAAGCAGCCGAGTGGCCCCTGGTCCAGCGGTGCACCCACCAAGGCTCAGCAAGCTAGGGACTGAGGACAGTGCGCTCTCCCAGGAGGCAGGACCAGGTGCGGAAGGGAGCAGCGGGAAATGTGACGCAGGAATCATGGGAAGAGTTGGGGGTTAGATGATCATGAACACAGGGGTCCAGACCCAGTCAGCGCTGAGACTCGGGGCTGGACAGTAAGGGGGTGCTCCTGACTCCCCCAGTCTGAGCTCAGAGCTCACCTATGAAAGTCCCTAAAAGTTAATGAACAAATAAGAAAACTTGTAAAGAACATCCCACTTGCAGAGGCAGGTAGAGATGCCAGGCGGCCCTGGGAGACGGGGCAAGCCGCCTTCCCCCTGTGGGAGGCACTGTGACGTGACCTTGAGGGTCAGAAGCCTCATGATTTAAGAATACTGAGAACAACCTCCCGACGCTGCCTGGCCCTGAGCTGAAATCACCCACCGGAGGTCCCCCCTCTGAGTCCCAGAATGTGTCAAGGTTTTGAAGAGGACCCTGCGGAACCCCCTGGCCTGGGTGAGCCCCTCCTCAGGGGGAGGAGCCCGCTCTCGGGACACCCGACCAGCGGAGGGTGATTGGCAAGAGGGAACCTTGGAGGGACAGAGGCCTTGGAAGGAAAGGGAGAGGGTGGAGAAGACGGGGGCAACAACATGCCCCGTTCCATGTTGGCCCACCCCCTGCAGAGGGGTGAGAGAAAGTGAATGTTTGGTCCCCTGTTCCAGCAAGAGGGCAGGGTACGCTGACACTTGCCCAAATCGGGCAGAGATAGGGTGCTGTCGTTGAGGGTCTGAGTCAAAAGAGACCCCCAATGTGCCCTCACCAGATGTGCCAAGAAGAACGCGTCCCCAGGAGCCACATCCTCACTGTCCCCAGCCGGGGTGGGGCAGGGCTCCCTGGGCCAAGCAGCACAGGGTTAAAACACACCCACACAGCCATTTCCTTTTTAGTCCAGGTCAGCAAGTAGGGGGACAGATTCCTGGCCCAAGCTGTGATTTTCCATCCCTGATGCCGTCTGAAGGGGAGCGAGGCAGTGAGTGTTCTCCAGCAGGACAGGGTCGGATGCTTCTCAGCGGCTCTTAAGAGCATCGGCGACTCTGAGCTCCTGGACTTAGTGATCTGGCCTCCCACATCCGTGTCCCTGCATCCCCGAAGTCTGTCCAGCAGATGTTTCTGCACTAGTAGGAACCATTTACATATGTGGCCTCCCAAGCAGTGGCCACTGGCCACATGTGACTCTGGTGCTCTTGAGATTGACCTCGTACAACTGGGGCATTTGTAATTCCACTTCATTTCCGTTCCTGTAAATGCCACTCAAGGCGGGAGCTACCACGGTGGTCAAGAAGCCCCTGCCATGGGGTGCCAAAGGTAAGTGGCTGGCGT